GTTTTCTGTTTTAAGTTTAGGTTTATATATAATGAAAATTAAAATGTCTGGAGCTAAAAGACTGAAAAACTACAGAGAAAAAAGAAAAGCTGACAAAGAATATTCTAGTAAAGAAAATGAAAGGATTGAAAAACTGAGAAAAATAAAAGTTGCTAAAATGAAGAAAACAAAAAAAACCTTGTATAAAGAAAAAAATCGAATACGAAAACAATTAAGTAGACACAACATTAAAGAAAAAAGAAATAAATCAATAGCCTCAAGTTTAAATAGTTGCAGTCCTTACCAATGCAGTCAGACCCTTAGGAAAAGCTTTATCAAAATCAATGAGAGCTCTCCCAAAATCTCCAACTAAAAGTAAAGTTGATGTACAAGATTTAGCAAATCATGTTAGTTTTATTTTTAGGTTAGGTTTGATAATCTCTGTATTTCACAGTCACTTAATTCATCTTGTTGGCTCGGAAACTGTCTGCAATGCAAAAATGCAGTAAAAAAATCACTTAAAAACTTAAACCCAGCTAAGCAGGTCGTGTGGCAACAGTAGAGCAAATATGACTCTGGTCGTCTTCAATTACAATCAAAAAACGGGTGCAAGGGGGAAGTAATAGAGGAATTACTATTTTCTTTATCTAAATTCCAAGAACATGTTCGAATAAAAAGAATTCGAGCAGCTGAATTTGAGAAGGACTAGGGGACTGTAGGAAAAAGAATTCTTCATGTTGATTTTGCAATGGCGTATGTTTGCGAATATCAAAATGAAGTACAAAGTGCGTTGTGGAGTAGAAATTCAGTTCAATTATTTACAGGTGCTGTTTTCTTTAATAATGATTGCAAAACATACCTTATCTGTTCAGACACAAAAGACAAGGGCAAAGATAGTGTTTACTGCTTTATTGAGAATTTATATGAACGACTAATGTCTGAAAACTCTAATACTGATACTGAAACTCTTTTCACTTATGGCCCATCTTCAGAATTTAAAAATAAATTTGTTATAAAATTACTCAACCAGTTATCTTTCCAGTATAATAAAACATTTGAATGGAAATATTTTGCAACTTCCCATGGAAAGGGCGTTGTAGATGGTGTTGGGGGAAGAGAAAAGTCTCCACATTAGTAATGATGAAATCAGTAGTAGAGTAGACAAAGAAAAACCTTGGTTAGAAGTCAAAAAAACACCAGGCATACCAAAAATTCATCATGATAATGCTTTAAAAAGATGCTCGTCATTTTTCAAAACTAGTGATTTAAGATCATCTGATTTTCAAATAAAATATATTAATGATGTATTTCCTAAAATAACACCCACATCTTTGGAAATGGCTAATAATGATTGTTGCTTTGTACAGAACAATGATACAATGTATCCTGGTTAAATAAAGCTGAAAAAATTGAAACTTTGAAAAAGCAATCATTTAATAGTGCTATTAAGTTGGATTTTTAATCAAGTATATGCTTCATGTTAATAAAAAATTAATTAAAAAAAGATTTGTTTTAAATTTAAAAAATCATTTAAAATTTGTACTATGTAACACACGTAACAAAACTTGTCACACATGTAACGCAAAAGTTTATAATTTATTTCCATGAAGATGTTGTAATTATGACAAATGAAAATAGAATTTATAAACACAAGTATTTTGTTATTAATAGAACAAAATATCTTTTTTTTAATCATAGCCAATTAGCAGAAAATTGTTATCAAAGTTTGAAATTCAAAATAATGTTTTCGTACGCGTCACACACGTAACGCAACTAATCTGTCATTTTATTAGTATGTGCAATACAAATATTTTTAAGAAAAATATTATTTAATATCAGGTACATCCCCTACTTTTATAATTGCAATATATATCTAGCATATATTTTATAAATATTTTTTTAAAGCCTCTTATACTGCAAAATATTTGTACCAGAGTCACACACTTAACACGAGAGTCACACACGTAACACGAGAGTCACACACTTAACACGAGAGTCACACACTTAACACGAGAGTCACACACGTAACACAAGAGTCACACACGTAACACGAGAGTCACACATGTAACACGAGAGTCACACACGTAACACGAGAGTCACACACGTAACACGAAAGTCACACACATAACATGAGAGTCACACACATAACACGAGAGTCACACACGTAACACGAGAGTCACACACGTAACATAAGAATCGCCCTATATTAGGGTTGTCCAGAAAATATAATTTCACTCTAAAGTCACCCAAATTGAAGTTTTTCCCATTATACATTATGTCTAAAAATAACTTTTACAGATTGCGAGCCTGAGATTCCTTAAAGCCTTTAAACATGCACCCATTTTTAGAGTATAACTTTATTAGTATTTTTTTTTAATATGCTTTAAAAATTATAATAGGCAAAAAAAAACTCAAAAAATGTTTTGATTTGCTTTCAGTTGCATTGCACAAAAAATGTGATCGGTCACCGTCACAACAAAGTACTGAAGTTAGAGTTTCTGATAAATCAAAAGAAAGTTCAATTTTTTAGGATAAGACTAGAAACAACTATAGTAGAACCCTTAAATGTAACTAGTACCTCTAGCTCATATAAAGCAACTCCAGACAGACCTGTGACAAGAAAGTCAACAGATTGCTTGTAAATTGGTCATACTTTAACATCAACTAATAGAGCCCAATTGTAGGAAAATCGTGACATTTGTTTTATTTCAAAGGTATGATCCAGAAAGTGTATAAAATAAGGAATAAAAAATACAGAAGGTGTATAAAATAAGGTGAAGAATCAGGATCTTGCTTATGATAGAGTTGACGCTGTTGTTATTTTTTGAAATAAGACACCTACAAAAGCTAAAGCACGACAATTTAAATGATTGATGCCATGAAACTTTTGAATGTCAGAGTTTGATAAAAATTGAAGGAAAAATAACTGACCCTGACAACAGGAGAGCAAACTTTATTAAACAACTGGATTCTCTTTTTGACATTTGTGCACCAGACCCCATTGATGAAATAAAAAAATCAAGGTTTCTGTCAGACAGAATAAAACAAGATGATACCGATTTCTATTTGGACTAACAACAGTAATGGAGATCATGCATAAACAAGTTATCAAAATATTTGAAACAAAAGCTGAAATTATACTTGTACTTGAAGCAAGAATTACAGAAAGAAAACAGTGTAGGTAGGAAATGATAGAAGAACAGGTCAAAGGAATTGTGGTTTTGCTAGAACACGAATAGAAGACAGAATTAAACGAAGAATGATAAACGAATATGATCAAAGTGAAACTGATCCTGATTTTGAAATAAATTTGCAACAAGAAAAAATAGAAACAGACCAAGAAGATTTTATAACTCTTAAGCTACCAAAGAAAGTCAACTCAAGCTTTCAGACAATAAAATAAAAATGATTATATCTGCAGTAATAAAAGTTGCTGGAAGTAATCTTACAGATTTTGATATTTACACATCTACAAATTATTTCAATTTTAATCAACAGCAGCTTGCAGAAAGTGTCATCAAAACAATGAAAAAACCCCTCCTCAATTGGTGAATTGTATTGGCATGGCAAGCTTTTAAAAGATATGCTAGGAGACACATATGAGACAAGGCCTTTCAAAATACTCCAAAAACTTTCGATAGGGCGACACTCTAGCAAGTTTGCAGGATTATCCGTTTTCTCAACATAATGCACGTTTTTCCTTGTTTAGATTCATAATTACTGTTTTTGCATAGTGAGGTGATGCTAAATGTGGCCAGAATACATATGCACCTTTTGAATGACACTTATTAATGAATGGAATGTGTCTCTTCTTAATACATTTGTTTAAATAGATTTTTTGATTTACAGCCAGTCCACTTGCTATAAAATAAGATTGAGAAATTCCATTTTCAGAAAAAACAATCCATAGAGCTAATTTCTTTTAAAACTTTTATTTTGTTTGGTATTTAACTGTAGATGGAGTAGATTTTACATCACTAGTATAAAATGTATCATTTCCATTGATACTTAAGTGATTTAAAGTGAAATAAGACTCATCGTCAATTATTGGTTTACGATTTTTGAATTTCTGACAAAATCAACTGCACTTAATTCTAGTTACTGCTTTTTGCTGGTCAGAGTATTTTGGAATCATCATTTTTTTTTTATGTTTCACTAATGTGTTGCTGAGTATAGTTAAACTTCTTAGCTGCCTGTCGTTGAGAAGCTCCGTGTTTACGGTCAAACATAAGTTTGAGCCTTTTAATGTTTGTTCTGGTCATTTTTTTAGCTTTTACTCCACTTCCTTGTACTCTTTGGTACTCAGATTCACTTTCAGCACGCTTAATTATCTTTTAGATAGTACTTTTAGATATATTCTTAACTTTAAACTTTGTTAAATATTGTTAAATATTAAAACAATAAATTAAAATGTTAAATATTGAGTTTTCAAGTAAAGTTTTTGATGAAAAAAAGTTATTTTTTGTAATAGGAAAAACTTCAATTTGGTTAGCTCTGGAGCTAAATGATATTTTATGGACAACCCTTTTACACACACACACACACACACACACACACACACACACACACACAGATTACAAAATCAAGAAATAAAAAAACTGTTAAAATATAAGTTACAATGAAGTGTGTTCCATTGTCATAACAACAAACAACAGAAAGAAAAAAGAAAAAAAGAAAAAACTATAAATGACTGCCTAATCACCCGAATCGAACTTTGAAATAAGAAATTTGCTTTTATGCCTACATTTAGAAACTTATTCATTCCTTTTAATTAATAAGTTGTCATTGGTGTAAGATATTATGAGATACTTTTCAAATAAACAAAGATTGCATATATATATATATATATATATATATATATATAAATATATATATATACATATATATATATATATATATATATATATATATATATATATATATATATATATATATATTATATATATATATATGGCATTTTAGAGCCATAATGCCCCTGATTGCTTTTAAAAATAGTAAAAAACAGTTATGTTTATAACAAC